CATCAAAGAAGACAACACACCGTATATGAAGGAAACGACGGTGTAGTGAGAGTGGCTGATGTAAAAACTGCCAGTGGCACTTGCAAGAGGCCTATTCATCGGCTTCCACCCTTGCCCAAGGAAACAAATGCTGCCACAGAACGACAATCAACCAACAAACTGCTTGAGGAAGATGAAATGTCATCAAGGAGGAATAATCTTTCCTTACCCCAAGGACTTGCTACACTTCTGATTACCCTACTCATCTGAAATTCAAAATAAGCGATTCGGATCAAGCCTTGGCATTCATTTTGAAGGAATAGGCTCACCAGCCATACCACCCATCGATTGGAAGCTAATAATCTACTATGACATGGAAGGATTTTTGGTAGAACTAGCAGCGCTGTCAAATGGCACAAGGGCCCTGCGCTATTTATGTCAAGAAATCACACAAAAAAGCTCATGTCTTTCTCTGGTAGCACATCTTGAACAGACTGAAAAAGAGTTGCAGCTAGACTACGCAATAGTAAAATCTAAACGGCCTAAAGGAGGTGGCACTGATGCAGCTGGAAATATCGCTCATTCTTTGTTTGGAGTACTGGACGCAGAATATGCAGAACAAATGTCCTAAACAATCACGTTAAGGAAAATGAACTACATCTTCTGCACCTGACCAGAAATCAAACATCCATTGTGGACTCAACCATCAACATTTTGAAGCAGGATCAAAAAGCGGTCAAGAGGAAGTTCGAAATCATTGATCAACAAGTCAGTCAAATATTCCAGAGGATCAGCAACAACACGAATGAGATATACCAAGAAAAATTGTTTCGAATCTTTTCCTCGTTATCCATTTAACTCACACTTATGGCAGCCGATTTGCAAAGAATGCAATCTGCAATATTAGCCGTTCTAATATATACTCATCACGGAAAAATAAGTCCTCTTCTGCTGACGCCCAGCCAATTGCAAGACGAAGTAAACAAAATTAAACTTCACTTATCAGCACCATTGGAACTGCCTGTAAACCAAGAAGATTTACTGCAGCTATACCAACTCATGACGGTTAAGGGAGGACTTACAGAAAAGCATGTTTTACTCAGCATCACATTGCCTCTGGTAGAGCATGATCGATACGACTTATTCAATCTGCTACCAATTCCTACTTGGACTAATGGGACTAGGATTGAAATAAGTCCGTGTGTTGCAGTTGTGGCAATAAACACAGCTCTCGGTCAATATTTCCACATTACGTCGGGGTCACCAGAATGTTCATAACAGTAGCGATTACGACAAGTTCAAACACTGTTGTTTGCTTGATTGCTTTCAAGTGATTTTTATTGAATTAATGATTACGTTTTTATACAAACTAAATGCTTACGTAGCTAAACAATAAGGCCATAAAAACTTTAGATCGTAAGCAAAATTATTGTAAACGCTTTATTCCCACGTTTTGGTTTACATAAGCATAATTAATGCAAATGCTTTATTCCCACGTTTTTGTTGACATAAGCATATTCCACATTTTGCGTCTACTTTCATTTGTGTGAATTAATCAACAATGTCTTATATGTAAATTGACATATGCCAAATTATTTGGCTATAAGAATACACTAAAAGGCATAAAGTGCAAGCTACGCATACAAGAATGCAAGCGAAAATTAATACCCTGTTGAGTAAAGCCAATGCAATATTAATATGTCGACTTTTCTTGTTAAATAACAGGAATAATTTTTCATTCCCTTTTGTCCCGCTGAAACCCTGCCTATCGAAATGAGCGTAGCAATGCTTTGCACAATATACAAATTTTTAAATTTTCGACGCAGATATTTCGAAAATGGTTCAACGAATCATAAATTAGAAAAGTTTGTGCAAAGTTTCAGATCTAGCACTTTAATGTGATGTATAATTTATCTCTGTTCGACTTGCAGATCGCTGGGAATAAGCGCCATGCTTCCGAAAAATGAATATATCGAGCCCTAACCGCCAAAATAACGTAACATTTTTTTCTAAATTTTCTTTTTGATGCAGAAATATTCCTAGAGCGTCTAGATACATTTCTGCATCAAAAAGAAAATTTTGAAAAAAAATGTCGCTCACGTTATTTTGGCGGTTAGGGCTCGATATGTTTCAAAATAATATATAGATATTACACATTTCTGTGTTATTAAAATAATAGCCATAAAAAATCACTGTGATTTAAAAATCGTAATCACAATTTTCACTGGTACTGGAAAATCGCTATTTCGCCCACCACTAGCTTCTAAAATACTGCCTAGCTTGGAAATATGTCACAGTTCAATTGTATGTTCAAAGATCTAATCAGTGTTAGCACTAATCGATTGATTTTTTAATCAATTAGTTTATTCGATATAATTCAATCCGATTACAGTTAACCATAAGTTATTTTAATCTGATTAAACAGTTCATCGTAATCGCGTATAAAAAAATTATTTTTAATCATTAACCCTTAATTTGACTAAGTGGGTTTTGGTGATTAATTAATTTATGCTGGAATTTTCCTTTGCACACAAGACCAGTTAATCTAAGGCTAAGTCGGTTTTCGTCATCAATAAAAGCAATTTGGTGGGCATTTTCATTAAGATCTATTCCAACAGACGTTTTGAAAACTAGGTTTTAAGTTCTCAGATTATGTATTACTAATAATAATAATATAATAGATTGGCGCTTACACATATGTTAGTGTTTGGTCGAACTTCTCCTCCGATTTTTGGCGTGCGCATTGATGTTGTCAAACAAAGAGGAGGGACCTACAGTTTTACGCCGACTCCGAACGGCGATTGTATTTTTATGAGAAGCTGTTTTTCATGGCAGAAATACTCTCGGAGATTTGCCATTGCCTGCCGAGGGGCGACCGCTGTTAAGAAAAAAAACATTTTTTTCTAAATTTTTTTGCGATGTTGCTTTGACCAGGGCTTGAACCCAGGCCCTGCGGAGAAGAAGCGCGCCCTGCTTACCACTACCCCACAGCGACTAATAA